TAATATATAATATAAATACGAGTTTATAAATATTATATATATATATATTCTTTATTCTTCATTTTCTATATTTTAATTTATTTTTTTAATTAGTAAAATCAAATATATTCTCTATCCCCTTCTTAATTATAATTAATGAAATAATTTGAAAAATAATAATAAGCTAAAAAAACATTTTAAAAAACTAAAAATTAAGAACTATAAAATTCATATATAAATTAAAAAAAAAATCAGCAATAATAAAAGGCAATATATGTCTGAATAACTCAAGCGAGTTTTTATAAAATTACTAAAAAAATTTCAAAGAAAAAAGTTAAAAAGATTATTAATTTTATAATTATTAAAATACATTATATTCCTTAAAAAATACACAAAAAATAAACGCATCCTAATTTAGTTAAATATATAATCCAAGTACTAATAAAAGTAACATTATTTAAAATAATTCGAACTCTTTATTAAAGAAAAATAATAGTAATACGAGCAGTAATAGTTATAATATAAATAATAGTGGTATTATTTAATAAAGAGTATTATAGTTTTCTCCTTTAAAAACTAAGATTTTATAATAGCAATAATAAATATGTAATTAATAATAACTTTTAACTAGTGGTAATAAAACTAAAGTAAAAAACATTTTGCCTTTGAATTCGATCAAGAAAATACCCAAAATAAATAAAATAATAATGGAAATAATACAACTAAAAATTTTATAAATAAAGATACTTTTACTTATGATTTAGTTAAAAAAGACTTTCTTAAAAATTTAGAATTTTTATGGAAAGACCCTAAATGTTAAGAACTAGATAAATTATTGATTGAAATTCCCGACTATTTCCATAATAATTAATAATAAGTATAGGAAAATGAAAATAATGAAAGTAGAGAAATCGAAGTATAATAAAACTATGATAAAACCGCAAAATTCAAAGAAGAATATTTAGTCGGAAAATAAGTTGGGGAAGGTGCATATGCAACTGTAAGGGTAGCTTTTAATAAAATTTATAATAAAAAAGTAGCTATTAAAATATATGAAAAATAAAGGATATCTGATGCAAACAGAAAAAAGTCAGTCCGAAGGGAAGTTCTTATTTTATAGTAATTATGTCATTAGAATATTATTAAAATTTATGACACTATAGAAACTAATAATCATGTCAATATTATAATGGAATATATTTCTGGATATTCTATTTATGAGTATTTAAAAGTTCAACCAAATAAAAGATTAAACGAAAATGAAGCAAAAAGAATCTTTAAATAAATTATTTCCTCAATTGAATATTGCCATTCCAAATAAATATGCCATAGAGACCTTAAACTTGAAAACATACTCCTTGATGAAAACAATAATCCTAAGTTAATCGATTTTGGTTTTTCGACATGTATCCCTAATGATAAAAAATATAAAATGTTCTGTGGAACACCCTCTTATATGGCCCCAGAAATTGTTAATAAATAAGAATATTGTGGACCTCCGGCTGATATTTGGGCTTTAGGAGTACTTTTATATGTTTTATTGTGTGGAACTTTTCCTTTTAAAGGTATATTAATTTATTTTTTGTTAATAAAAAAAAAAGTATTTAACAAATATAATTTTTAGGTTAAACTGATAAAGAATTATATAAAAGAATAAATAAAGGAGAATATAATTAACCAGATTTTTTATCAATAGAATCAAAATAATTCATTAAATGGATTTTAACTGTAGATGCTGACTAAAGACCTTCTGCAAGTGACGTAAATATATGTATATATATATATATATATTTATTATTTTTATATATATTTAATTTTTATAAATATTATATTGAAATATTTTTTTTTTATTAGCTTTAATAATATTTCTGGGATACAAAAAAATAAAAGGAAGATTAATATAATTAAAGCTTTTATTTGTAATTTTAAAATTTTCAAAACTCATAGTCTGATGGAATTATTTAAAGACCTATAGCTAATGGAGGAGGTAGTTCAGGAAATACAATTCAGACGAATAATTATGTTAAATAAAATAGTCCAAGAAATAAAGTTGATTTATCTCCTAATAATTATTAAACAAATAAAAATATTCTTAATAAAGAAAATAATAATAATATTCCTAAACATCCATAATGTAATAATAATTTTTTGTTTTATCCTAATAAAAATAATGCATAAATTCCTAACAAAAATAAAATTAATTTAAATACTAATAATACTAATAGTCCTGTAAATAAACCACCTTTGCCATAAACTACAAAAAATATAGCAGAAGACTATTTTATGAGCAATAATTATTAAGAATTATTGTAAACAAATAAATAAAGAAATAAGTATTCTTAAGAATATTAATAAAAAGACTGCACTTTTAATTCCGAAGGAAATATTAATTTTAATGGAATAACTAATATAATAAATAAAAGTAATAATCCGTTTTAGATTCTAGGATAAAAAGAAATTATTTAAAGTGTTGATTAGGATATATTAAATACTCTAGTAACTTAATATTAAAATAGATATATATAAATATATTTATATATATATATATATATATATATATATATATATATATATATATAATATATATATTTATAAGTATATATACATATACAACTATATTTAATAAAAGATTTGTATGGGTTATAATAGTGATATAGAATAATTAATAAAAAGTGTTTAAAATCCTTAAAGTCATATTTGTAATATATATAAAAAAATTTATAACTAAAAGATTTAAACTAATAATTATAATTAAACTATTTACCCAAATTCTTATATTACATCAATTGGATCAACGAATTCTACTTAAATATAAAATAAAAAATTAAGTAACTAAAATAAAAATATTTATATTATTTTTTTAATTAAACAAGATCATAAAAGATAAATAAATTTAAGTAAAGAATAAACATTTAATTAAAGTTATAATAACAAAATAATTAATAGTGTTAATAAAAGTCGATTTTTTTAAAATAATACATCTAATATTTTAAATTTAAATAATACAACTTTTAATAAAATAGCAGACTATGAAAATAAAGATTAGTTTTATTGATAATATTTTATTTACAAAAAAAAAAAAATATTAATAAAATCATTTTAAAGTTTTATATAAAAATATGTAAATACTAATTTTTTTTTTTAAAAAAAAAAAATTAAATAAATATTTCATTTAACTAATTAATTTTAACTCATATATTAATCAAAATCAACAATATATAATTTAGTTCCTATTTTTATATTATTATTTAATGATTCTATCATTTCTTATATATCGGGTTTAATTTAACTTAGTTTAATCTAAGATAAAACCTATTCAAGGACAAGATAATGGAACATTTTTTAAGAAGAATTTTAATTCCATAAAGAATCTTAAAATAAAATCTAGTATTAATCACATTTAATTTATATAGAAATATTTGTTTAAATCTAAATATGAAATTATATAATTATCTTTGCCATATCATCTTATTCAGCTGTTTTTTTAAATATAATTGTAGAAGGTACATCTTCCTTTATAAAATCTTAAAAAATAACATAATTATCTTTTCCATCATTTAAATTCCTGTTTTCATTTACTCCAATTACAAAAAAATTCTAAATATCATATAGATTTGCAAATTTATCGTTTGGTTTATTTTCTCTTATATTCTTTATTTTTATTTCCGTATTAGATTATTGCATCGTATTTAGGCTTTTTTTTAGTTTTTAATAAAAACTTGGTTCTAGTATATCTTCTAATAATTCATAATCATATTCTTATAATGCAGTACAGTATTAATTAAATAAAGAAAAAATATTTTTGCTTGATAATTATTTTTCGTCTAATTTTAAAATTGTCTTTAGGTTTTAGTCTTTTAAATATTCTTAGTTTTCTATGTTTATTTCGTCAAATTTCCATGGAAAAATCAAGTTTTATAAAAATAATTTATAATCTAATATTGTATCTTGACTTTTTTATTAAGGTTTTTATATATTATATTATTAAGGTTTTTATATATTATTTTATTATATGGGAATTTAAAATTCTTTTAATTAAGGTTTTTGTATTTATTAATTGGAGTGTTATGTATATTATTATTAAATAGCCTATTTTTGAGAAAATTAAATATTTCTAGGCTAATCTTTTTACTTATTATTGGCTTTTTTTTAAGGTTGTTATTAATTTTAGGTTTCAACTTAAATTTTCCTTTATAAAAGTTAATCTTCTAGAGTTAAATTTCTATTAATAGATAGCTTTTAAACGTTTTTTTTTTTAGATGTAAAAAAATAAAGTATAGATTTTTTAATCATTTGTTTAATATTTATTTATTTTTATACTTTTATATTTTTAACAAAAAAAACAAAACAAAAACAAAAAAAACTAATAATTAAACATATAAATGCTCTTTTCATTTATCAAAATTTTTTATTGATTATTATTATTATTTATTCTCAGAATTATCAATATCAGATATCTCTTCTTAACTCATTTCTTCAGATTCCATACTTTAGCTTTAATCATAGCATTTAAAATTTGATTAAAATTCAATATTATTACTTTCAATATTTTAATCATTTTCATTTTAATTATTAGTTTTGTTAATTTGCCCTTAACTTTAAATATATTTAAGTAATTTTTAATTCTCAAATTTATTATAAACTAAACAACTAATTATAAAAAGAATCAAAAAGATAATAATTATAAAAACTGATATATAGGCAACTAAAAGTCCATTATTTTTGAAAAAAGAAATTAGTTTTATTATAATTTATAAGATAAAGCGAACCCGATTCTATTCTTTTCCAAATCAAATACCGTATAATATTTTTTCATAAAAGCATCTCCTAATAAAATAATATTTCCAATAGTATATTCATCATTTTAATCTTCCTATATAGACTAAAAATATAGTACACATTTTTTCGAAGATATCCTAAAATAGCATTTTTCTATATAATCTTCTGGTTTAAATTCTAATTTAAGTTTCTTTTCTTTATCTGCTAACCCAATATATAAAGTAGGGAATTTATCAGAACTATCACATACTATATTAACTACTTATTAATTATTATTTAATTACTCTACACTACATTATAAATTATATTAATTATTAAAAAGCTATAAAAGCTAATTTATGTCGTCAAATGGCATTATTATTTTAGTAGTTCCACTATCTAATACAACTGATTTACTTAAAAGATTTAATTTATGTACTTTTTCTTCAAATTATAAACCTATACCTGTCAAATCTATGCTCCAAAATTCCTCGCTGTTAAGATCTATGTATTTAATTTTATCTAAAGCGTATTCTTACTTGTATCCACCGATTATTAAGGCACTATTTCCTTAACAACTAGCGTCATTTAAGTATAATGAAAATATCATTTTATCTATTATTCCTTATTGCTTCATAGTCCATAAAATTGTTGTATTAAATTCGCTTGCTTTTTATCTTCCTAAGCCTTTTTTTTATTTTATTACATATATTAAATTTTTTTTATATATAAATTTAAAACCTAAAAGTCCTTGTCCTTAAATAATGTTTAAATCTTCAACATTTTCAACTAATAAAAATTAATATGAAAATCCGATTTAATCTTGTTCATTTACATATATTCTATCTTTTACACCATATCCTTATATTTTACCTATTGAGTATACTATTTCTTTTCTTAATATCTCTTTTTCATTTTAATCATTTTTTAATAATTTACATTAAGTACTTTTTTTACAATCGTATTGTTTCCATAGTTTATGAGCTTTACATTAACTACAAGATATATCCGGAATCCATAATTCAGTGGATCCAGTATCAATTATTAAATTAAAAGCATCTTTATGAGTTCCGAAATACATTTCGGTATCATAATGGATATTATGTATATTTTTCAATGGTAATTATAAGTTAGTTTGGAGATTTCGTTTACATATTTTGAAATTAAGTAGTTTGTTTTAGGTTTAAAATGTTTATATGGTAATTAAAAATAATATATAATTTTAAAAGAAAGAATTAAATATCATTTATAATTTTATATTTAAAAATAATTTAAAATTAATATAAATAAAATAAAATGTTTTTTAAAAAATAAAGAATTCTACTTGATATACTTAAAAACTATGAATTATAAAAATTTTTATTTAAATTTCTATAATCTAATACATAAAATCAACAATGGAAATTTAAATATTTATATAGACAAAATAAAAATTATAATTAAATATAAATGATAAAAATATCTGTTTTATAAACAAAAAGTAAAAAGAAAAATAAAAACAACAATAAGTATTAAAAAAGGAAAAATATTAAATTTTAAAAAAATATGAATTATGTATTATTAAAATAATAAAATAAATTATTAAAAAAATATATTTGATAATTTAATAAATATTTATAATTATATATATTTTTATATTTATAAAATAAAATAAAATAAAATAATATAAAATAAAATAATTATTATATAATATAATTTATTTTTTATTTGCTCACCAAAAAGGGCACCAACCCATATAAGCTTAGCAAATATTTTCATGAGAAGTAGCCTAATTTATTAATTTATTTACTTATTCAACATAAGACAACTATTCATTTTCTTTAAAATCTTTTCCGTTTAGTTTTTTTTTAATTCTATCCATTACTTCTAGCGCTTTTTTATTTATAATTTCTTAAGGTTGTTCTTTTTCTTCATCTTCATAATATTGTTATTCTTTTTCTTTTTTAAAAGATAAAGGAGGTTTATCTTCTGTTTTATTTTTTTAAGTTTATTTCATAGCTTTTTTAATTGCTAAGGAAGTTCCTTATTAAATAATACTTCCTAAATAATTCTATTATTGATCATTTTCAATTAAACTGTTTTTTTATTAATCCTTATCTTAGTTTTTATTTCCTTTTGTTTCAGCTATTTTATTATTTCCTTAATCATCTCCAGAAATAGCTATAAGCCTCCAATTAATTAAAGGATCGTAAACAAAAGCTTCCAAAACTGCAATTAACGATTCTTTATTTTCCCTAATCACTTTCATTACCAATTCGCATGTATTTCTATAATTTCCAACTATTCCACACGCTTCCATTGCATTTACAAGCATCCTTGTTAACCTAAAAGGGACTCTTTCTGGGAATTTTTCTCTTCTCATAGCCACTTCGAAACAATCTCCGAAATCAATATGCACAATTTTACCTGTTTATCTCTATAACATAATATTAGATGGATGTCTATCCCCTAATCCCAAAATATACCCTGCTATTGACATTGTAGCCAAAGATCTGGTATAATTAGTTCTTCTTTCTAACCAAATTTCACTATTAGGACTTTTTAACCAGAGAATTTTTTTTAAATCTTCCCCTTTAGTATTTTCTATTATATGTCTAAAAATCTCAACTTTATTTGGCAAAGGAAGTGCACTGTAATTAGTGCAAAATTAATCCATTAGAGACATTTCTGGATTTTCTCGAATATTATAAGCTTTCCTATATTCTTTTATAAGTGATTATAATGTATCACAATTATGTACCCAACCGATAATTCCTGTATTAATAGATAATGGTATTACACTATATCTAGTAATATTTAAGGCTTTTTTTTCTGTTTCAGGATTATTATGTAAAAGTCGATTAACTAAAGCGAATAATTGCATAACTCTTTCATCTTATCTAATATCTTCTCTTCCTTTTAATAAAAAATGATATTCTTTGGAATCACTACCATATATAAAAAGTTTTCTAGGGTGCATTTTGGAAAAAAGAACGTCTAGTTTAGGCTAGAAACAGCTTATTTTTATCACTGGACGCGATGGCTTATATAAACCAGGGATTGAAATTTCGCAATTTTTAGTTTCAAGTAATTTAGGGGATACATTTTCTAAATAGACGTAATCTAAACTTTCCAACTAATGATTTATTCTTTAATAAATTTTATAGTATATATCAAAAGCCTAACATAAGCAGATTTCGTTTTCTGTAGTATTGTATCTTTGAAGCCAGGCTTCGGCTTCAAAAACTTCAGCGCCGAAATTTTAGTGAAAGGAAATTTCACTTAAAGATTCAGGTTACATTGTCATCATTTCATGTAGTCCTAAAAGTACTTTTATCAAATGTTAATGAGAGTTTTTGCCTTAGAGGAATGATTCCCAGGCTTCCTTTATACCTTCATGCCATTGCTCTTTGAATAAAATTGCCGTTCTGTTTAATTCAGCAGATATTAACATAGCTTAGTTAACTAAAGTAGGCGAATGAGTCTTAATATCAGAAATTATTTGATTTGCAGCCTATTAACGGCCCTAAGTTTTAGATTTACAAGCTACCGTTAGGGGATATATAAGAGCCTGAGGATGATGATTAGCTATATGTATTAGTAGTTGATGTAGAAGTCTTTATATGTCTTTTTTTGATATGGAAATTCTTGCTATTATTTAAGGTACGACTTCTATCCAAGCACGAATGTCGATTTATTTATAGTCTTCAAGAAATTTATTATTCACTTCTTCTAGTTCACCATATTCGAATATTATACTTAATAAACGGAGGGAATCTTAGAATAAGTAAGGAGATTTATGTTCCTAGGAAGCACCTAAAGATATACTTTTCATAAAACCCTCTAAAGCATTTTTTATGTATTATTGCTTTTTTTCTTCTTGGTTTTCTCCTAAGGAATTATGGGCGATGTTTATGGCATCGAAATTTAATAAGGCGTAATGATGCCAGGTTTTATAATAATCTGCTTTAAAGTTTTTAGATGATTAGTAAAAACGTTCGATTTTTTCAATAATTTCAGGTTAACTTAAATCTTCAGCCTTTTTAATTTAAATTAATATTAATATAATAATATTATATATATATAATATTTAATATATTTTTATTTATTTTACTTTATCTCTTAACCAGTTTCCCATTTTTAAAAACATTTTTGCTGTTAGTTTTTTATCTATTTAATTTTAATTTTTTTATAAAAACTCGTCCATTCTTTCAAATGTTTATTATTCTTTTGCTGTACACATTTAATAACTACATTCTAGATTCGCGAGTACTACTTTCGGTGGATAATCAAAAAATTCAATAGCACCTGGGTCTGGATTTTATTCTTTCATTAATTCGTCAAGACTTTTTTAACAGATTTTCATTTGATTTCCTTTTAAAGCTAATCTACAAAACTTTAACCATCTGTTTTTAAAAAAATATTAATTTTATATCTATAAATATATTTCTTACGTATCCATATTATCCACTTTTGATAATAATAATTATCTTACGGATAAAATATTTTACCAAGTGTCAATATCTTTTGGATTTCCATTTAATCTGTCAATCCATACATCTTATAGTTATTTTTTCTTTTGTTCAAGGTCTTATTATAAATAAATTTTAGTCAATCCTTCTCTATTTTCTTTCTAAGCTTATTTAACTTTGTCTTCAAATTCTTTAATTTCAATAATTTCCTACATTTCAAATAATTACTATAACCTCAAAATACTATCATAAGCTCTATTATAACTTTCTAACAAAAGACCACTAACCTAACTATCTAATTTAAGAATAGATTCAGAAATATATTACCTAGCATCTTCAAATTAAGCCTTTTAAATACACAAAGCTGCATTCCAGAAATTTTTATCAGGATAATCATCATTTACTTATTCTGTATATAATTCAAGTTAATCCCATTTACCTATAAAATAAAAAAAAAAAAAAAAAAAAACTAATTTTTTTTTACCTAAATGCATTGCTGCATTAGCAGCCAAATGCATGACCTATTTTCTATTTTCCATATTTTTTTCATCTTCTGTACTTTTAATTAATTTTTCCCAATCTGAAAGTGCATTCAGACATCTCATTTTCGGCACAAAAAAATTCTATCCAACTTAATTTAATTATCTTACTCTATAATCATCCAAGGCATTTTCCCACTAGTGTAATCTTTCATACCAGCTCATATTCTAATTCATTCCCAATTAATTTTTTACAATATTAAGAAGTCCGTTAGCCGCTTCCCTCTACCCTAAATTTGTATATAAGGAAATTAAAATTTCTATTGTTTCTTCATTTGCAGTTTCGAATTCATGTTCTCGATAATAAAGTGCCTTAGCATAAGCCATACATCTTTCTGCTAAATCTCCTAAAGTTGAATTATCAATTTATAAACCATCCTTATCGTGTTGCATGAATTCGGCTAAATTAAGAATTGTTTAAAGAATATTTATTGGAATATTATCTGCGTCTTAATGTTGTGGGTTGATAGCTTTTGTGAGTTAGTTTATTATAAATTCTTTATCTTTATCTCTCAAAAAACTCCATACACAGGCAAACGATATATTATATAGTTCCGTTTGTAGCTCTTCGTATACTTCTGCTAGTTAATGACATGGGGATAATATTAAATTAGGAGATTCCTTTAGTAGTTCTACAGAAGTCTTCCTTATCCATTAATTCCAGTCTTCTTTTGATGTCAAGCTTGAAGTGTCGAATACTTTTATGAACTTCTCATTTACCATTTTTCGGTATATTCCGTTATTTGATTCAGTGGTATATGGAGGCTATCTCTATATTTATTCAACTATATTCTTATTTTAATATTTTTTTATAAATATAAATATATATATATATAATATTTACAGGATATTCATTTTCTAATTAAGAAGAAACGTCATCTAAATTTCCATTATTTAAAAATATTTCAATACAACGAGAGTATTAATTATGATGAATATTACAATTTTTAATAATTATGTTTACTTTAGGTAAATAAACTAAAAATTAATTTCTATATTTATAAATAAATACAACAATAGTGTCTAGAATTTAATTATTGGTTACTTAGTCGTTTTTTCCATCATTTAAATAATTCAATATTGAATCAACTATTAAAGATAAAAATTAAATTGTAGAAGGACAATATAAAGCTAAAGTTTTAAAAAGTTTCACAATTTCAACTTTTACTTCTGAATGCGCATTTGAATGATTTTTATTTATAAATTGACATAAAAAAGGAATTATCAAATGAAGATTAGAATCTAATAATTCGGCTAATTTCATATAAATTTTAATCATTTTTTTAGAAAAATCAACTATTTCAGCTTAATTATCGAGTTAAGGTTTATTTATTACATTATTTATTAGACGAATTATGGGCTCCATTTTATGCCTAAGATTAATTTTTTATTAATCTATTAGATTTTCTAATATTTAGAAACAAATTTTTTAATGTTTAACTTCTTTTCCATATTCCAAAAATATATTTAAAATTGGATCTATATATGCTTAATCATAATGGACTCCTTTTTTTTTATTTAAATAAATTGTAAAAAAAATATAAATATATTTTTTTGTTTTCAAAAAATAAAATACCGCAATGTTATATTATTTTCTAAATTAAATCTAATAAACTTTATCTTAAATTTTCTTAAGAAATTATTTTCGTAAATACAGGAATTATTATGTCAAGGAAATTTTTTGTTCTATTTTTAAGAACACCTAAAAATAAAAAAATTATTTTAGAAATATATTATAATTACCAATAATGCATGTAAGCGTATTTACTGTAAGATCATGATGTTAACTAAGGGAATTATCACATAGAATTTTTAATAAAGCCTTAATAGTTACTCTAGAATAATAATCTTCATCATTTAAAGAAATAACAGTAGGCGCTTAAAGTAATACTTTAATTTCTTCATCATTTTCTTGTCTATTATTAATTTTATCAATTTAAATTTAATCTCTTAATTTGGAATCTTTTTTAGCAAATATAGTACCATTTACACTGTTTTTGTTGTTCGTTTAATTTTGATTAGATTCAGCTTAAATATTTGCCAATTTTAAAAACAATTTTTTCTATTTAAAATTTTCTAAAAGTATAATATTCTCATAATATTAATGTAATTATTTTGTCTTTTTTTATTTAAATATATATATATATTTTTTTAATAAATACTAAATTATATGATCCTTGAAGTTATTTGGCGTTTTTGAATTTTTCGAAAAATTTAAATTTCTTCTTTAATTATTTACTTACAATTGAATTAACGATTTCATTATTATCCTAATTATTTATTAATTTGAACTTATTTTTTAATTTATCCACTACTTTTTTATAATAAAAATTATCTATGGCACCTAAACATCCTATTAATCTCATACATTATTATCTCATTTCTAAATTTACTTCATTTTTCATTAATCCCAATATAATTTCTAAAAAATTTGGATATTTATAATAAGGTAAGACAACAAATCCTGTACATTTTATAATATCAACAAAAGACTTTACTGCAGCTTCCCTTTTTGAAGTAGAAGATTTATCTTACATAGCCTAAAGTATTATAGGAACAACTTCATCAATATAAAGGAGCATATTTTATTCTCCTAAATTTCCTAATTGACTGAATGCTTTTAGAAGTTCAGGTATCATATTATTTGTCATATTTGGATCATTCAAAAAATTAAGCAAAATATGAGCTATCGACTCTGAATGTGATTTTACTATATCTGGGCCGTTTTTAATAAGACAAGTTAAACTACTTAATAAGTTTATCATTTATTTTTCATTTTACATCTTATTTTTTATTTTACTTTTTTTTTTTATATTAATTTTTTACTTCATCAAATGCTAATTATGATAAAAACTCAAACAAAGTTTTTTTTAAAAAAGGAACTATATCTGAAGGATTATGTTTGGAAAGTCTACAAAGAATAGTTAGTGCTAATTATTGAACATTTCTTTTTTTTTATATTTTTTTTGTTATTAAAAAAAATAAAATATTTCATATAATATTTTTTACATATTACTATCATTCACACATAAAAAAAGCTTCTTTAAATAATTAGGTTCATTTAAATATTAATCGAAATTTTCATTCAAAGAAGATAACATAGTTTATCTGATTTCATCTTCAGGGTCACTAATAGCTACACTCATGAATTTTTCGAGAATTTCATACATAATATTTTTGGAGATTTATTATTCTCTTTTTTTTTTTACATATAATAAACATCCTGCTTTTGCTGCTGCTTTTCTTATTATTTTATTATTTTTATCATCCAAATAGTCCAGGACATTATCTTTAACAAAATTAGCAAGTTCATTTTCATATTTGGAAAAGTTAAAAGTGGATAAAGTTTAAATTGCATTAGCTATTGATTTTTCATCATTTTATTTGTTTTATTCATTTATTTAATTTAAAGCTTTTAAAAAATTTTAATGTTCTTCTTTTCTCTCTTATTTTCTTGATAAAAGACTCTAAGGAATGGTATTCTTTTATTTCGAAAGAACAGTTATTATACAAAGTAAAAGCTTATATTAAATACTTTAGGTTAAGTCTATTTTTTTTTTAGTTAATTCTTTACTATTCTATTATTAATCTTTTTAAAAAAAATAAGTCTTCTATATCTGCTTTAAAAAATCAATGCTTTGAGGGTATAAACCATTAAATAATATATTATTTATCAAGCTATCTTCATCAATTATTAATTATTAATATTATGCGTTAAATACTTTCAGAATATTCTGCAAACATAAAATTCTAGAAGGTATATAAGGTTTTCTATCTATCAGATCTTATCGGATAGTCCTTGTTACTAGTTCTATATTTTTAAATACTATATTTTGTTAAGCTTCATCTAATTTAGTATAAACACCTCCATCTAAACATTAGCAAATTTTATTTAAAGTATCATAATAACTTATAGTAATGTCAACTTTTTTTAAAAATAAAATAAAAAAGGAATTATGTAATTTTATAAATTTTTTAAAAGCAAAGAATAGTATATTTTTTTGTATTTTTTTTTTATTTTACGATTATAGTTTCGACTAGTTCGGTTTTATGCTATTTTTAGAATAAGAAATTCGATAGTCTTTTAGAAAAAATTCTCAATAAAATATTATTTTTTATATTTAGATAAAATTGGTAAAGCCTCAATTACTGCTTTTTGAATTTACTCTGAAGAAGAACTTCTTTTACTTGTAACATATTCACACATATCATAAAATTATTGTGTTTAGAAAACATCAGGATTTGAATAACTTAAGATTATTTTTAATACAGAGATATTCCCAATTATAACATCATCATCTTTTTATTTTACACTTTATTAAATATCATTATAAAATGTGGTATATTCTTTTATTTGAAAATCCGCTTTTTATTATTAAAGAAAAATAAAATATAAATTATTAATTTTTTTTTACATTCTTTTAAACTAATTAATTTTATATAAACCTCAAAAAACATAAGAGCAGCTTCTCTTAATTGAATGCTTTTATTTCTTTTTTTTTATTTATTTTTTAAATATATATATATTTTTTTTTTACTTTATTAAATTCCATATATTTTCTCTGTACTTTTCTGTTTGTATTATTGATTTAAATGTTACAAAAGGAGCTTACTCGAGAAGCTCTTTTAATGCGAGTAAACCTGCATATTTCCGATTTTCTTTAAAATTCTTGTTAAAAAGCCAATCAATGGCATTAGTAATATATGTATGCAATATATTTTATATTCTAGTCCCACCTAATTTTAATAAGCGGCCATATACTTCTGCGGTTTTTTTCAAATATCGCTAATCTGCATTTTCTTGGAATTATTAAAAAACATTTGTATGAAATTTATTAACAAAATTCATATATTAATTTTCTTGTATGACATATGATATTTAATCTAATCCAAGTAATCCATCTTTTTTTTTTTTAATAAAAAAAAAGAATAAATAAAATTATATTTAATAGCTAAAAATAAAATTACTATATTTTTCTTATAAGTCAGAGCTGTTTATTATTTTTTAAAGATACTAAAATATCTTTTTTATATTAAAAAAAAAAAATAAGAACAGAAAATAAATAAATTTTGAATTTTTTTTGTTTTTTTTAAAAAATAATTTTTTTATTACTTCATCATATTAACTACTGTTTTTTAAATAATATTATTAAAGTTCTTAAGCTAGTCTTTCAGAAGTTTCATTTCTGGCTTTTTTTAGCTGGTCAAAAAGCTTTATTAATTCAGAGTTATACATTTATTTTATAATATTTAATTAAAAATATAAATAAAATTTTATTTGTTTTAATATTTTATTTTTTTTCCTTATGAAAAAAAACAAAAGATTTATTAAAAGATTTTAATATTACCAATAAATAAATGAATTTATTTTAGTTATTTATAGAAAAAAAAAAATAGTATTACTTTTATATAAAATAAAAAAGTAGATTATAATGAAATTAAACTAAATATATATTTCTACTGTTTAAAATAAATATTTTAAATATGCAATTTTTTACTTTATTAAATATGTATTTTTTTATTTGCAATAAAATATATTTATTTTTAATTTTCTTTAAATAAAATATATTTCAATAAATATAATATAAATAAATATATTATTATTATTTATCATTTTACTTTAATAATAATAAATAAAACTTCTTTATTTCATTTAATTTTTAAAAATAAAGAAAAAAAAAAAAAAATAGAATCAAAAATAAAGAAAATTATGTTTTCATAAAATCATAGTTTTGAGGAACAAACATACCCGCAATTTAAATATATGAGTTATTTAAGAAGTCTATATTCTATATTATTAATATAAACTTTAATAATATTAGTTACAGTAACTTTAGCTCATTATTTTAGTTAAATATTGTAATTTTTAAATCAAAATAACTGGTTAACATGGGTGAGTTTATCTTTAACAATTACGACATGCTTATTATCATTTATGTTCAGATAAAAGTGCAGTATGTTCCCTTTAAACGTATTTCTTCTATTAGTTTTTTCTGCTTCATTAACTATATTGTATTGTTATATTATGAACACTTATTCAAGTGAACTTGCTTTTCTAATTTTAATATCTGTATTTATGAGCTATTTTACATTATTTTGTTATGTTTTTACTTCCAAAACGGAACTTTCATTTAAAGGATCTACTCTTTTTGTTACTAGTGGGGCTTTAATTGTTTATTAAATGTTTTTAATCTTTACGAATTTAAGTTATTTGTAATTGATTTTTATTCTAATGGGTACTATTATTTGGGGATACTTCCTTGTTTATGAATCATAAACTAGGGTTTCGGAAGTAAAATTAGAAAATAGAGATTCCATTTTAAGTGCTGTTACAGTCTATTTAGATGTTTTTGTTTTGCTTTTGAAGTTAGTGGAGTTACTTAGATAGATTATAATTAAAGAAAGATCATGAAATAAGAATTTTTTTTATATAAATATGTTATTTATTTTTGTTATATATTATATTTTAAATTTTAATTATATCATATTTTTCTCATATATATTAAATTTATAAATATTTAAACTATTATATTATAATTTTTAAAGTTTATAATAGAAAATAAATATTTATTTAGCAATATATAATTGCTTTTTTAATATATATTATTTATTATCTATATTAGAGTATAATTTATAAGAGTAAAATTAATTATTAATTTTTTTTAGATTTTTCACTACTAATTGATTTTCAATGTTAAAGTTTTATATTTTGTTTTTATTTTTATAATGTTTTATTTCAATAAGAAATATTATTTAAATTATTTATTGTTAATTTTAATAGTTTTATATATTGCGAAAAATAAACTCTTTAATTTTTATATAAGACTTTTTAATGTTAAAAAAAATTATCCTATATAATTTAGAATTAAAATTTCAAGAATTTTTTATTGTTTTGCTTTAATAAAATTTTCCTTTAAAAAAAATAAACTAAAAAATAAAAATAGAAAATTATAGACAAATTAAAAAAAATATAAATATATTAGAAAATATTGAATTTTAATTTTAAGATTTAAACAATAATAATATTATTAATAAAATACTAAAACATATTTTGGATTTAAATAAAAAAAAAAATTAAAATTATTATATTTAGAATTAAGTTTTATAAAAATATTATTTAAAATCATTTTTTTTTTGATTTTGTTTGAAAATTTAGAAAGTTATCAAAAAATGGTTCTTTATAAATATATATGTATATTTTTAAAAATAAAAACAAATATTTAAAAAAAAAAATATTATAAGAAAAGACTTATTATTTTAAATAGAAAAATAATGATATATTTTTTTTATATAATATATTATATTCATTATTATAAAAATCTATTATAATAATTAATACAATAAATTTCAATATTATTATTATTATTAGTTTATGCATTTTCAAATAATTATTAAAAGAAAATATTATCAAATTATAAAAATGTTATAATAAAATATTTTTGTTAATATATATTATTGATTAAAATCTCATTTTATGTATATATTAAATAAAATATAAAATATTTAAAGCTAAAGAAATATATCTTTATTATATTTAAATTAAAAAAAATAAAAGTAAAAATAAATGCATATTAATATATTATATCTTTATATATAAATTATTTAATATTATTATTTATTTAGAAAAATATATTATATTATAAATAAAAATTAAAAAACTGTATAAAATTTTTATTTAAAAAATGGATAAATTTTTAAGAATAAATATATTTATATATTTATTAAGCTATAAGTAACATAGATTATTAACAAAATTTAAAATAAAATAGTATAATCTTATTTTAAATAAATTAATTTAAATTATAAAAAAAGATATATATATATAAATATATACATAAATATATATATTTATATATTTATATATATATTTATTTATATATTTATTTATATTTATTTATTCGCCTTTATTTTATAATAAAAGGCGGTTTTAATAGTATATGATTTTTTTTAAAAAAATAATTAATAATTTTTTTTTTTTTTTTTTTATAATATATATTAATTATATCAAATATATAATAATATTTTATTTTCTAAAATTTAATAATTTTTTTTCTATTTTTTTTTAAAAAAAATTATACTTTATAAAATTATTAATTTATTAAAAACAATTAATATACAAATTTCAACATTAATATTTCAACTAAAAAAAAAAATACAAATAATAGCAAAAAAAAAAATGGGATCAAAAATATTTCATCAAATAAAAAATAAAAAAACTGATAGAATTTAAAATAATAATTTAAAATGTCCTAAAATGTTCATTATAATTTGTTTAAACTTAAACATACTAATAAGTTATTAATAATAAATAAAATAAAATTTTTAAAAAATTAAAAAAGGTACATGCTCATATAGCTATATGCATATAACAAAGATATAACAGTAATATTATAAATGAAGAATCTAAAACAAATATCGATAATACCATAAAAGATAATTAAAATAACATTGAGTATTATTGGAATAAAACACCTTTAGTAAACCTAAAAATTAACCAAAATATACACAAAATAAGATATATATGGGAAAAAAAATAATTTGACTTATCAAAAATAAACTATAATAAAGTACTTTAGATGACTCCATAAGAAATATAAAATTAATCTTTTGAGTATAAAAATATATGGTTTCGAAATTAATGCGAATAATTAAGAATTCCTTGGACATATGGGAGTGATTGGATATTTATAAGTTCAAATAATGTTTTATTTGATAGTGTTGTTAACATATAATATTGTGATTTAAGAAGAGTAATTTTTTTATATATTTATTTTTAAAATCTAAATAGGAGATTAAAATTTAATTCTCAAATGATATTGTTTAAGATGCAGGAGGATTATTAAGGGAATGGGTACATTTATGCACAAGAGATATTTTTGATAAAAAAATAGGTATTTTATTTTTGAATAATATAAACAATATTCTAATTTAAATAAATATAAAGAAATGTTTGTTAAGACCGATACTTAAAATTTGGCTTATAGAATAAATTCTAATATTGAATATATTGAATATTTTATTGAACTTTTTGGATTATTAGGTAAAATTGTAGGGAAATCTTTATTTGAAAGAATTCCAATAAAAGCTTGCTTTGATAGAACTATTATAAATTATATTTTGGGTAAAAATAATTTAATTAGTGATATATATTATTATGATGAAAAAGTAATTTTTTTTTTTTAATTATAATTTATATTATTATAATATTTATTATTTTTATTTTTTTTGGTTTGAAAAAATAAAGCTTTATAACTCTTATATTTATTTGGTTAATAATACTTTAAAGCCAGACGATTATATAGGAAATTTTACAATAGAAAAATAAATAAATGGTAAAATCTAAAAATTCGAACTAATCGAGAATGGAGAAAATATAGAAATAAATAATGAAAATAAATTGTTTTTTATTGAGAAATAGTAAATATTAAATATATAATATATATAAAAATTGTAAAATCATTTATTTTATATTTATTATTAATTTAATAAAAAAGAATTTAATATTTATGTGTTGAATTTATTAAGCCTTTTTTAGAATCTATGTGTTAGGAAATTTATAAGGTTATTCCTTTTGAAATACTAAGTATTTTCTAAAGTCATGAATTAGAAATGATTTTAAATGGAATAACCTTTATTAATTTAGATGATTGGAAAAATAATACTGAATATAAAGGAAATTACAGTAGTGAACATCAAGTTGTAAAATGGTTTTGGTAAATTTTAAGTGAACTTAATTAATAATAGCTTTCTAGATTTTTATAATTTTGTACAGGTTGTTCATAAACTCCTATTGAAGGATTTAAGTAAATTTATTATTTATTAATTTTTAAGTTTTTTAATTTTATTTTCAGAAAATTAGAATCCAATAGAGGAGATTATTAAAAGTTTGTAATTTAATAAGTTGAATATGATATAAAATATCCATATCCGAAGTCTCATACATGCTTTAATCGTTTAGAATTACCTATGTATTAATATTAATATATAATATATGGATTAAATTATTATTTATTAATTAAATATAAGGTATTAATCATTAGAAGATATGAGAAATAACATTCAATTAATTTTACAAAGTGATTTCGAAGGATTATTTGGAATGGAATGACTAATTAAATAAAATAAAATAAAATAATTTAACTTTTTAATTTGAAATAATAAAATTAAATAATTTAAAAAAAATACGAAAATTATATATAGATTAATATTTATAAATTAGAATTTTTACTACTATATATAAAGAATATTTATTTAGGTAAAATAAAAATAAATTACTTTACATTTTAAAAAGTTAAAAATTATATAATAAAAAATTTTTTTGTTAATATAATAAATTAAAATATATAAAAAAAATAAAAAAAAATAATTTTATATAAAGAAAAATTTTATTAAATTAAAAAAAATAGTTTTATAATATAATTAAAATACATATATTTAAATAAAATGAAATAAGATATTATTTATAGTTTAATTTTAAAAAAAATAATTAAATAAAATGAAGTATATGTGTTTTTAGAATTTTCGAATATAAAAAAAAATTAAATTATACATAAAAAGATAAAATTAAAAAATGTTAAAAAAATGTAAAATAAATAAGTATATATATATATATATATATATA